GGGCAATTGGCAATTGTGCAATTGACGCGGGAACCACCACCTCTTGGCGAGAACCACTTGGCCGTTTGGATGATATTTCTCGTCCGACAAAGATTCGTTCGCGTGTACAACACGGTTTCAACACCGGTCGAAAAAAAAAAAAAAAAAAAAAAAAGAAAGAAGAAAAAAATTCGCTTGCAACGCCCGTATCGATACACGGAACGTGGGGTGGAACGTGATCCGATTAAACTTATTTCTACCGTGCCGATTTTAATCTGTTGTCCCGAAATAATCCCGTTTCATCGAGTGAACTCGCTCGTACTATTCGATACACGCGATAAGGAAGAAACGAGATTCGGTTTCGACGAAATTCGGGACGATATTTTCCACCGCCATTTCGATTAAACGCCGTGGATGATAATTTTTAACGTTTCTCGCGTAATATTTTTCTTTTCTCCTGAACAATTTCTGAATTGATCCGATTGATCGATAATTTTGAGTAGAATTTCTTCTTTTCTTTTCTTTTTTTTTTTCTTTTTTCTTTTTCTTTTTAAAGAATTTGAGAGTGTAACAGCGGATCTGAGTTCCGAGGCGCAAAGAACCGACTGAGATAGAGAGAGAGAGAGAGAGAGAGAATAAGGAGATACTAAAGAGACGTGTTTGCCATTTTCATTTACTTTCACTCCATCATCGCGACTAGAGATTGGTAAACTTCTCCTCAAATCCCTCAAATCCCTCGATAAGGCTTGGTCAAAGAAAAATGAGAGTAGGGGGGAAAAGTGGGAGGAGCAAAGGAGAGCAAGTCTTTTTTGAAAAACATATAAAGCGCGTGAAAGCACGAAGTGTAGTTCTCTCCGAATCGATCGACGCTAAGCACACTCGAAAATACATTCGAGTATATATATTTCTGATCGCGTTATTTTATAATCGAAGAAAATCCTTACAAAAGGGAACCCGGAAATTGATGGAAAAAAAAAAAAAAGAAATAAGATTTTTAAACGCTAGTCTCCTAAATAATGCAATTTTTATAACAATTTGATCTCGCGCGAAATTTTAATTTAAATTTTATCATCGCGATGCATCTCGACACGATTGATTCAACGGTGGAACCGATTACAGTTTCAATCCTAAACTGAAACGAGAGTAATTAATATTTTTATCTAAAGAAAAAGGAAGAAAAATGTTGCTTCGATTCGTAATCCTCCTCCCTCGAAATTTATCGATCTCTACTGAATATCGTTCGAATACACTCACGGTGTAATTACAATCGCGAACAACGTTTTTGTTGATCGAGCACCAGGAACGCGGTAAGAGTTGCGTAATGTTATGAAGCAAAACGGAAAAGCGTTGGAAAGGAAGGAAGAAGCGGCTTATGAACAACAATCGCAAACTCGAAGAAAATATATTCTTCTTCCTTCCCTCTCGAATAATCCTCCCTTCCCACATTCGCATGAAAATGCTAATCGTCACGCCTCTCATCGATATCTTATCGATTAGAAGAATAAATCGCGATAAGATTTAAAAATTACAGAATTCGTTATTTTCCTCGAGCAGAAACACTTTTCGATTCCACCTCCCCCTTTCGAATAATCTCTCATCTCCGTCATTCCCCTTTCCTCGAATCTCGTGAACATTCGTATCGATAATAAAATCTAATAGCACGATGGAAATTTACATTTTTATTACTCGATCGCGGTCGAATCGTAAAATGGAAGGAAGAAAGCAAATTACGGATCGAAGAGATCGGGAGGAGGAAAGGGAAGGAAAGGAAATTGTGTTTCATTCGTGACTACCTCGCGAGCCACGGATTATGATCGTTAAACGATAAATGAGCGTCGAGAAGCGTGAACGATAAAACCTGACGTGGCTATAATCGCACGTTGGGGAAGACGAATGCGTTAACCATAAAATTTCACTTGACGTTTCGCGTGCGAGCAAACACTTTGGTTATCGTGTCTAATTATTCACGCTGTAAATGCATTGTTCAACGTTCAACGTTTCGACAGCGCGATAAGGGGACGGATCCCCTTATCTTAAACCAGATTTCATCCCTTCGAACTCGCGATCCGACCGCGATAACCGATAACATTTATACGTAATAGCCACTTCCGTTCGCGTTCAACGCTCGACTATGATTAAAAAAATCATATATATATATATCTTTCGAGTATTGCACGACGAAGCCTCTATTCGTGTAACGAATATATAACGATATATACAACCGTTACGTCAGAATTGGATTACAAGGCGGGTACAGCGTGGACAAGAAAGAGGCAAGAACGATACGATTTGGGACTCACCGTGAGGAGTTTTGGGCACGTAGAGGTTCAAGTATAGGCAGTCTTCGCTCTGGTTGGCAAGCATGGGCGCTAGCCTCTCGAGGTAGGCGCGTTTGGAGCGCGGCAGACTCGAGTCCGGTTCAGGCGGCTTCTGGGGGCACGCGGGCGGCACGGTGTCCGCCAGCTTGGTGCCCCGCCACGGGGTCGGCGTGACCGGTGGCATGTATCGCAACGCCCCGATCGGGGGTGTGGCGTACGGGACGCCGTAATAAGTTTCCACGGAGGTGGACGATCTGTCCTCGACGCCGCGCAACGTCCCGTATCTGGTCCTCACCGTTCTCGTGCTGTACTTCTGGCTACCGGCGAGGGCCTCCGCCCCACCGCCGCACCACTGTCCGCACAACAGACCGAGCAACACCACCATCGTCGCCAAACACTTTTTCGACCCGTCTCCCCTGCTCTCGCAACGCGCCTGCACCGCCGCTCCTTCCCTCCAATCGCGTCCCCCATTCTTCCTCCAGTTCCCGCCACCGTCCTCGCCTTCGTCGTCGCAGGGATCCCGCGACACCGTCCCCTCGTCGCTCCCGCCAAATTCCTTGCCCCTCGAGAGTCGAGAGTACCACCACCACCACCACCACCTTTCACCGGGGTGAGGGGAACACAGGCGGAACACAGGGTCGAGGTCGCGAGCACGGTCCAAGCTATCGTCCGACGAGGGAGGCAGAGTTTGGACAGGGTCGAGGATGGCCGAGAAGAAGACCTGTTTCCTCTTCCTCTTCCTCGCGGACGAGGAGGAGGACGTCCGCATCGCGTCACGCCGCCGCGGACTGGCCCCTCCGGGCCCCGCATCTGTGGGGACGTCCCTCTTCTTCTCTCTCTCTTCTCTCTCGCGCTAGATACCCTCTCCTACCCTCCTCTCTCTCCCTCCGACTCTCTCCCCCCTTCGACTTCCCCCTCCTGGAAAATGCCTCCTCGCTCGAGCCACCACCCTCCTTCACCACCCTCGAACGCTTCGTCGCTCGCAAACTGGTAAACTCGCGAGATATCGGTGCCAACGCGGTGCCGATCGGATCCAAGGCTCTCAGTTCCATCCTCGGGGACGTGAGTGGCCCGCAACGAGATTCCGCGTCAACCGGAACTCGTTGTTCTTGCTCCTCGCTCTCGCCCGGGTCGTCGTCTTCGCCGTTCGTCCGATCGACGACGAGGGGGTTGGGTCGACGACGACGACGACGACGACGACGAGGGCCAACGCGTTCGAGGGAAGCATCGGCTGCGATTACGTTCGCCTATTGCCACCCCTCTCACGCGCCACGAGCTTCCGGTGATGGCTAATCGGTACTCGGGGGGAGGGGAAGGTAAGTTTCCAGAGTTTTATACTACGAGCACGTCGTGGTATATCGTATAACACGATTTGGCAGTTCTTGCGCTATCTCTTCGTTGTACTACTTCGTATCGTTACTATTATTCGTATCAATTCCTTGATTTTATTATTCGTAGTGTAGCGGCTCGTGCGACGACGGGGTTGCTTCCGTGGAGGCGGTTCGCTCGCGATTTTCTGCAACAGAGAGAGAGAGATAATGAACGCGTACGAAGGAGAATTCTCGAGAAAAAGGGGGGGGATAACGTTAATCGTCGCAAAGTCGAGATATTCACCTCGACTCGCGTAACCTCGTTAATGAACGTTCGGTAATAAAAAGATAACAAAAATTAAATTCTCCCCGAAAAATCCGAAATTCGTGTGTTTCGATAGATCGGACGTGGATCGAGATCGAAGTGAAAAGAGAAAAAAGAAAGAAAAGAAAGGAAATTTGTTTGCAAATCTTCGAACGAAATCCAAAGGCGGAGAGGTGTAAACTAATTAATCACTCGAATTTAAAATTACGTTCGCGGGACGAAGGAACGAAGAGCGGAGGGTCCATGAGGGATTAATGGAATAATAACATTACAATCTGGTGTCGAAAACCAACACGGTTTGCTTTTGTTTCTGCAGACGTTTAACCGGGCTTTTTCGCCCCGTTGGGAATTACCACGGACAACTCAATTTGTAACGGGGCAGGTTTTCGAGTCCGCCGCAAATGACACGAAAACCCAATAATACCGGTTCTGCGGCAATGCGAGAATTTCCAATTTCCAACTCGCACCGCCCCCTTTAAACACCGACCGAAATCTCTATCTCTAAGTTCCCATCCACGACTTTGCTTTCCCCCGAACGATCGACAACGTATTGATATTATATATCATATTCGTTCGATCGACGAAGTAACCACGATAATTACGAACACGTTTTCGCGCGATGAAATGGCAGAGATGATTACGAATTATTTAGAAGGGGGGAAAAAAGGGATTTTATCACGTTTGATAAAATTATCGAATTCTCGAAGGACGAATTGTCAGGATCGAAGAAAATAAAGAATACGATTAGAAGCTCGTAATTCAAAGCTGAAACATGGGAAATGTAAGAATCTACGTCAAAGCGACAAGAGTAACTGGATAACATCTATGATGAACTCTAATAAAAATTCACGATCGCGTAACGAGACAAGACTAATTTATCCTCGCGTAACAAGCAGAAAAATCGTAAAAAACGAAAATTTCACTTCCCGAATCATTCAATTTCCTCGACGCGGAAAATCCGTTGACGAAGTAACAGATTAAATTTTAAATTTTGGAAACAAAGAGTAAAATCGTAAAAATCGAGAAGAAACCAACTCGAAATAACGAGCCGTTCGAACGACCAAACAACATCGAATCGCGCGATAACGCGAAAAGAATGGCGCGCAGAAACGAAAGAGAGAAAAGAAAAATAATAATAATAACAATAAACCGCGTTCATAAAGCGCGCAATTGTTCCAACGACGACGAGGAATCGTGAAAATTATATCGCCCTCTTCCCATATAAAAATTTACTCTCCTGGGGGTGCATTAAAAATTTGAAGGGGCGTTTAAGTTACCGCCTCGAGGAAAATTTATCGCTCCACTATAAACTACTCCTACGATCCATTTTCCATTTCACTATATCGAAGAGAATAAAAGAGTTTCTTCCAATTTTTCGAAAAACTTGGAAATCTTGGAATCGTTTCTCACGCGTCGATTCTTTCATCGTTGCCCGCACGACTTGGATCAGAAGCGTTGGATTACGCGTCGAGATTCCTACGCGGCCAGATTCCGTTTCCTTTCTCCGTGCTCGGCCGAGATATCGATAACCATTATCATCGGGACGGGGGGAGGGAGAGGAGACTCGTTCCCGGCGAAATGAAATTCCTGGCAGAGCACTAATTGCGGGGGACGAGCGGGGCGATTAATAATACGGCCAGACTCTGTCCGTTCGAAGTGCCAAGTCGGCGCGATCGATCCCTCCGCGAATTACGAACAGAGGACAGGAAATCGAGCGAGGAGCGCGGAGATGGACAACTTTCTACCATCCATGGATATTTTTCCAACGTCGCTCCGCTCCTAAACTCCATTCGATTCGACGCGATTCCATCCGTCTATCTAGTTGGAATTTTGGCAGAAGCCCCACACTACCGGAGTCAAAGTAGTGTCCGTGTCGTAAACAATGGGATAGAAAATTGAACTTTTCGCAGTTCTCAGTAGCTGAGAGAGCAGGATGAAAGGTTGAGGATTGGAAAAATGAGGAAAAGGAATATATATATATATATATACGCGAGGAGAGAAAATTAATGGAAAGCTCCGATTTCGTCAGCTGTTATTCGCAGAGACGTAGAGGCAAGCGAGGAGAGGAAAGTTACGGAACCTTTTCAACCGTGATTAAACCGTAAGCTAACTAAAAGTTCTTCATCCACCGCGTATTTGCATACCTTCGAACTTAAACGGCTTCAAGTAGGGTAGAGTGGAACAAAGTTAACACTTTGCTAAGTGGTTTACCGTTAAACCATAAGCCCGAACGAAGCGGCTCGTTCGCTTATATACACGATTAGACAACGATAAGGCTACGCGTCGATCCGTTCCATTATGATTAAACCGGTGTTACTCGTGAGCTAAGAGGGAGGGAGGAGGGGGGAAGGATCGACGATCTCCATTATCGCGTTATTATTGTTATTCCTCCCGTTGAACCCAAACCAACCCCAACCAAACGTCCAACGTACCGTTTTCGGTTTATTTCGAAGCTCCACACGCGAGGATGTCTTTGGTCGGCGCGCACGCACGCATACACGCACGCACCCACGCACACGCACGCAGAGGCATACGGGAACGGAGAGAACGAACAAAACAACCGGCTCTGTCCGATCAACGCGACGCCAGCCGTCTCGACGCGCGACACGATCCCGATCCCGAAACGCACAACATCTCCTCCTCCCTTGGCCACCAATCCAACCACGGATCGACGACAACCGACCACCAATCCACTCTCTAGTCCATTTCACACGGCACTGGACCGCTCAACTTATTCGGGGTTCGCTCGCTCGCCACCGACCAACTCCGTCCACCACCACTCCACCACCACCACCTGCACCCTTTCTCTCTCCTCTCTCTATCTCTCTTTCTCTCTCCCCCTCTCTCTCTTTCTCTTTCTCCTCCGTCTCTGTCTCCTCCTCTCCCTTTCTCTTCCTTCCTCGACCGCACCACACTAGCCACGAGGCGTCTTCATCTCCCGCTCCCTCACCGGGTCATTTCTCGGAATCCGGTCCACTGGTCGGGATACGTTGCTACTCGCGACTATACTCGCGACACGACGGAGGCGTACGCACCAGAACCGTCCACGTAAACAGGGATACGAAGCAACGACCGACCGACCGACCGACCGACCGACCAGACCCGATCCGACCACCAATCCCAGGGACGACCCGCACCCTCCGTGTGCGCGATCGGCAGTCTGTCCCGGGCTCTACTGATGCCCAACCGCGCGACCTCCATGGAGGTGGCGGTGCTGGTGCTGCTGCTGATGCTGGTGCTGGTGCTGGTGCCGCTGTTGGTGCTGATGGTGGTGGTGGTGGTGGCGGTGGTGGCGGTGGCGGTGGTGGTGGAGATGGTGGTGGTAGTACTACCGGTGGAGGTGGAGGATGGTCCGGCACTTGAGGAAGCCGGGGCATCCACGGCGCCGACGCCTTGTTTCGTACCGACCACCAGTCCGGTCGATAACGCCACGGCAACCCCCGGGTCGTTCCGCCTCTCTCCCTCTCTTTCTCTCTCTCCACTTTGCTCCTCTCTTTCGCCCCCTCCCCCTCAATTTTCTCTCCTTTCCTCCTCGCTTCCTCTTCCGCTTTCTTCCTACCTTTTTCTCCTCCTCCTCCTCCTCTTCTGCTCACCCTCTTCCTCCCGTTTATTCTCTTCCACCCTTCGTCGAATACACCGTTTCCACGCTCCACTTTCCTCCTCCTCCTACTATTTCACCTTCTCCTACCTAAGCCGCGATTCCTTCTCGTCCATCTCTCTCTCTCTCTCTCTCTCTTCGTGTGTATTCCACAGGAGAGGCTTTCCACTCTCCTCCTCCTCCTTCTCCTCTTCCTCGTCTAGCTCGACGTTGCTCGCCTTGTTGTTGCGCCTTCGCCTCTCTCTCTCTCTCTCTCTCTCTCTCTCGAATAGAGAGACGGGAGAGACGTACTCTTTGTCGAAGTTGGCAGCAACAGACAGCCCTCTGGCTGGAAACGGAGAGACGGTCCACCACGTACGCCTTAAGTCCGTAACAACTCTCTGATGCCTGGTCTCCACGATCAATTGCACTTTCAAAGGGGACCGGCCAACTACCGTTACGATTGTTTTCGACCCCGCGGTCCTCCGGATAAATAACGCTCGATAGAGATTCGAGTAAACATCCAAGAAACCGAGACGAGATTAATTAAAGGGGATCGAGTTAGATCGACTTTCGGTTTTACTTTTAGGGAGGAAGAGAAGAATCCCTACGATCGAGGATATTTGAGCGGGAATTACGCGTTTGTCGGAGAAGGAAAGAAGGGGAGAAAGGAATGGTTCTCTCTATCGAGAGATCCCGAGGAAAGGTCCATTCTTATACAGTTCCCTGTGATATTTGTGTATTTCTACAGCCCCTCTCCTCCCGATTTATAATTATCGCGTGAAATCGATTGGAAGTATGGCGTAACAGGGTGGATTATTTAAGGGAAGAAGAATTCTATTTATAGAATTTATAACGTTATCGTTTTAACTTTGGAGCAACGCCGTCGATATTTTCTATACATAGAGATATGAGTGGAAGTTGTAGAGTTGGAATCCGTAGCAATCTTCGCGGGGGAGGAAAAAATAGAATATCGATTAAATTCGATTCGAGATTATTGAGTGTAATAATCGATAACGATATCGGATTCGACGTGATTTATTGTAATCCTTTGCTTCTTCGAAACGCGTTTTTCCATCTATCTAAAGATTAATTCGTTCTCAAAAGAATAATACGCGGATAATTTAATCGGTTGATGTTGTCAAAAAAACGACAAACCATAAATTAACTCTCCAACTCGAGGGAGCGCAACCCCGAATATATAAATATTTGAAACGACCCGAGATTGACTCGATAAACTAAAATTCTCCCGAGAATTCTCTCTCTCCCTCTCTCTCTCTCTCTCTCTAAGTAACACGACATATACAACGAAACAACGTAAAATCTTTAAACCACGTCGATTCAAACTCGAATAGGCGATGAAGTAACGCGTGAAGATGGAGTGTGTGATCCACGCGCCCCTTGTGTGAAACACATCCCGTGCCGGAGGACAAACGTAGGAAAGAAGACACGTAAAAATCCGTGGAATGTCGAAATGGCCGAGTTCCCTGCCAAAACTCGAACGTGGTCGAGGAGCATAGCCGGAAATTGCCTCGTTATCCTCGACGTGGCTGTTATTTACGGATTTTAACGAGCGAAACCTTACGCTCGCGCTTCTCTCGTCGGCCGACCTCGGTTTCCAGCAACCCCATTTTTCCTTCTTCGCGCGTCGTCGTTTCCTTTCCTCCTCCGCCTCGCTCTCCTTCGAGAGGGAGGAAAGTAGGGGGAGGGAAGAGAGGAGGGGAGGAGACGTGGGGAAAAAGAAACGATAGAACCGATCAAAACTATATTTCCTATTCCCATGGATCGATGGGAGAGAGCATCGAATGCAAATGCAGACAAAGATATTCCCGTTCTATAAAACGTCGGATTGCTTCGACTCGGTCGTTGATGAATACAGAGGGGGATCGGATGCCGCGGAGAATTTTGATCGTATGATCGTGGTATTTCGAGCAGGTTTGCGGATAATGATAGATCGAGTTTATTAAGCGTGAAAAAAATTGTTCGAATGGGGGATGAAATGGAATTCGAATAACGCGCGAGGGGTTTTGGATTGGTAAAGGTATCAACAGATACTTCTCATCGAAAATTAGTCTACTTCCATTTTATGTTCTTTTTTTCGTAGACTTTTCACGTTGAAAAAGTTTGGTAGGAATTCGAGTAGCAGGCTCAAGCAATGGAAGAAAATAAAATCTCGTTGTGCCCCCCACAGTTTAAACACAATTTTTCCCCGAGCACCACCACCCCGTCCTACGTCCGAACAACAAAAGCCGAATTCGAATTACATTTCTATTTACCTGCATTTAATTTCCAGCGTCCCGTTAAATTCGGTTTTCAATTTCCAACGATTTTCCTTTTATACATCGCATTCTCATCTTTTTATTTTTATCCCCCATTTATCCAATTTCCAATCAAGTTTCACACCTCTCTCTCCTCGCGAATTTAACATTAATTTATGTATAAATTACATTGCTTCAACACAAATTACAAAACATTTTTCTTTTTTTTTATTTTTTACTCAACGTCGTTTTAATCAATATTTCTATCGTTTCGTTAATTAAAATTGATTCCACGTTTCCATCGTTTTCATCTTATCCTTGTCGAGAGAGACGTACGTAGGTATTAAGAAATTTTTCGCTCATTAATCTCTCCTCGTCTCCTCGAATCGAAGCAACGAATACTTTGATACTGACCTATTTACCGAATATACTAATGAATCGATCTCTTTTTTTTAAACTTCTCGCGAGTTGGAAGCTTGATAATTAACAAGTCGAGAAAAATAACCTCTAACGTTACCATTAATTAAAAAAAAAAAAAAATCCCTCCCGATAAAATCCGTTGAAAATGTCTTTTTTAATAAACCATTCCTCAAACGTACCAAATTACACGATCCATCGTGTAGATACCACCGACTTCTCCAATCTCCAACATCCAATTTCAGCCCCACCTCCCTTAAATCTCACACTAAAGAGAGAGAGAGAGAGAAAGAAAAAGAGAGAAGAACAAAGTTCCCTTAGACTGTCGACTGTCTAACATACATCAAGGGGACCAAAATCGATTTCGAATCGGACGACGATTCCCTGTAAAACCTACGAGAGCAAGTAACACCACTTTTTCGAAACAAACAACCGACAACGATCCCTCCTAAAAAAGGAAAGAAAAAAAAAAACAGAAAAAAACTCGGACACCGATTCGAGTCCTCTTTCTCGATCGACGATTCGTCTCTATCTCTATCGAGGCGAACGAACGAGAACGTGCTCGTCACAGGGTGATACAGGAAATTTAAAAAAAGAAATATCTTTGAGATCCACGAGTTTCGAGATGTTCGATCGATCCCCGTTAATTAGATCCTTTCGATCGTCTGCGAATCCTCCACGGCCATGTACAAATAAATCGAATCTTCTCCCCCTTTGCCCCGTGCAACGTAACGGGGCCGTAACCGTAACTCGTGAAGCAAGAGAGAAAAAGGGAAACGGGCGAGTTAAGGGATTGGCTGTTCCTTTTGTTTGCCCGGTAAGGAAACACCGTTAATTAAACGGCTGTATCCGAAGACGCGCGATTATCGCACGAAGGGGGTGGGATTTAGGGGAGGAAATAAGTCGCGGTGACAACGTTGTTTAATTTACATTTCATTAGTTCGACGCTAATACCGCGACGCTAATACCCGATTCTTTCTTTCTTAAGAAATATTTTTCCCGTAAAGTGTCGATTTTCTTAGAAATTAAACAAGATTTCGAATATTTTTATAAAAATTTCTATAAAATATCATTCGAAAGTGTTATCATTGAGGCGAATTTAAATCGGTGATGATTATTTAATACGTGTAATTATTTGGAAAATTTATGGTAATTCTCCGCCATCTCATTATACGAGACTCAGATGCTAGGAATTAAATTTTGATGAAACGCGAAATATTACGAATTGTTGCGTACAAGTAATTTTATTTCTCTTTATATATAATTATTTACTAAATAGCTTCATTAAGTTATGGAAATACACATAGCTGCAAGAGATACAAGGCAGATTGTTAAATATTTAGAGACTTTTAAACACCTGTTGAATACCTTTCTCATCGCGTATATTTTATTTTTTGTTATTAAGTCAATCATATTCATTATGTTCAAATAATTTTTCATTTCGTTTGTTATATTGACTTTATTAATTTGCAAAAGAACGTATTATTCTACCTACTTTTTTATATATCTATCTATCTTATTATATCCTATATTATATTTCAAATCAAAATATTATTTCAATACAAATATATATTATATAAATGTAATTATTTTTTTTTTTTATTAAAAAATACGGATGAGATATGTATAATATAATAGAAAAATTCTACGTAAAAAAAGAAACAAAAATTCGATATGAAATTTTTTATCAGAAACAAATTTTAAAATTATTAAATTACTAACCTTTCGTTGTACGTATAATTCAACTTTCTTACAACGAATTCTCAAATTCACTAACCAAACATTCTATTGATCACGATAATAATACTCGATAATTTGTTGAAATAAAAATTATTATCAAATTCTATTATGCAAATCTTGCTTAAA